CATTCTCAGAATTCATCATAGATTTTTGTGGAAACTTTAGTTCTTAAACAAAAAAAAAAAAACCTGATTGTCTCTATTGATCGAGTACACGTTTAATTTAAAGTAAAGTGCTCCCAACACAATAATAAGTAAAAAACATTCTAAATGATGAATTTAGTATATGGCACACTGATTTTTTAATGAACAATAACCACTCAAAAACGTTCTCTGTAGACTATAATCCTAGACATTCAAACAATCAATTGTAAATTTCCCTCTGGGGGACCAAGAGAACTTACGTCACCCAAATTATTTTTCAAAACAAAATTTTGACTTTCTAAAGGAGCAGTTTGAATTTAAACAATCAATCTTTTCAACACATTATGAATAAACTTTCAGAAAAATTTTGCTGCTTAACAATGAGCCACTCCACAAGTGGTTCTAAGAATCAAGTTGAATAATATTACATGTAAATCTGAAGCCTGCACAGCACGTACGAGAACCACCAGGCACTTACAGTGAAATAGTAAGAATTCAGACACTATTTTCCCCAACCAAGTGACAAGGCATTTCATGCTGTGAATATCTAACACTTTGCTTTGACAACTAGGCACATACTTATATTTTCTGCCATTCTAGTCAGGAAATGGTTCAACATTGTCTCAGTTGATTTAGTGCCAACTCAAGTCAGTCTTTCGACATTTGTCCAGGTAACTGGACCAGGAACACCTGGTGATGACTTGTCACAAATTACAGTGATACTCTTTATTCTTTGAATAGTTTTGTTTGGCAGGGGTGATATTGAACAGACAGTAGATAAACAACACAGAGATCCACTGAATTGTAACACTGGGAATATTAAACTGTTTCATTTGATACATTTCAGTAGAATAGAACCACTGAAAAGACTTTTCTCTCCGGAATTTAAAACAAATAAAAAGGAAAAAAATGATTGTAGCAGAAAACCAGAGAGAGGGATGCAGATACAAAGCTTTAAATCAGGATGGATTTCTGAAAATGGTATATAATGAAATTCAAGTCTAAGTCAAGACAAACAATTAACTGGTAGTAAACAGATTACCAGTTACCTGGAGGTGTTAGTAAAATTAAAACCAACACTGTAGCCAACACAGAATTCAGAAGATAAATTATTAAAGAAAGTATATGGAAGAAAGGATTTGTTATTCCTAACACTATTTTCAGTTGTTCAGATTTCAGACAATCTTATCACTTAGAAATTTGGAAAGGGTTTTCTTTTCCGTGTTTCAACATAGACCAAATGGTATACTCCTTAAAGATACATAGTTCTTACTTTCTTATTTTTTATGCTTACGTCGTATCTTTCTGATTTTATGTTTGTTTTAGGTCTTACCTCATGTAGCTGATTTATGATTTTAGGCCAAATACAACTCCAACTGCAACCTATCACTGGGATTATAATTATGACTAGATATGTAAATATCAGTTTGTATGCTCCATTTACCTGAGTCTTTGGCTAAAATGCAGGATTCTTGTGCTTCTAAATTGAGAATTGATATTTGCTATATAAACACTAAAGTCTCTTAGAATTCCGGAAATATATGGTCCTAGGAAATCAGATTTGTTTGGATCATAGTTTAGTGTAGTTGAAATACTTATAGAAAGTTGGTGAAACCAGTCATAGGGGGTCAGAATATGCCACCCACAAATATGTCACTTTAGCAAAAAGATTACTTTATGTTGAGATTACTCTCAGTTGAAGATAACTGAGAAACAGAAGATGCTCCCGGTGCCTTACAAAACCCTCTCTGCCTCCCCCACAATTTACAAAAAGTCAGGGTTAGACTTTTAATGGAGACTCTTATTAACCCAGAGGGGCAGAGGAAAAGGAACTATGTAACAAACCTTACTCAAACAAAACTTTTATCTTCATTAATTTCCACCCATATATTTATCTTCCTATAGTTTGCTACCCCTAAAAGGCTAAATCTCTTTTCCTTTGTCTTGGTACTTCTCTGTATATTTATTCTAAATATCTTTATATTTTCTTAAGATATTATATAAGAGCTAAGTTCTAACCACCCTGAGGTACCCATCATTGAATTTCTCCTACATGCATGCGTGCTGGATTTTAATTTATGTAAATTTTACTTTGAAAAATACTGGTGTTGTGGGGATGTGAGGGAACATACAGATAAAAAACAAAAATGGTAGAAAGGTCGACAGTCAATAAAGCTGGATGAAGCTTATGGAATGTTCATTAAATGACTGTGTTTACTTTGTTTATATTAAAAATCAAACAAACAAAGGTAAAAACTACCTCCTTGTATTTTGGGTTGTTCTAAATTACTTCTTTACAGCTTATCACCCTTAAATTGGTGAATAAAACAAAGTTCTTAAATTGAAAAAAGTTAGTTTTAGATTAATCCCTTTAATAACCATTTCCTATGATTTGGATGTGGACCCCACAGGTCATGTGTTGGAAACACATGAAACACATGTTCAACCACGTTGAAAGGTGCGAGCTTTTAGAGGCGATTGGATCATAAAGTATCCTCACGCATGTATTAATGTTGTTATCATGAGAGTAGGCTCGTTATTTTGAGGGGCATGCTATAAAAGTGAGTTTGGCCCTTTCTTGCTCTCATGGATGCTTGCTCTCTCACCATTCTGCCTTCCATCACTGGATGAACTGATTAAAGCCCTTGCCAGATGTGAGCCCCTCGACCTTGGATGGACCAGCCTACTGAACTGTAAGAAACAAATATCTGCTTTTGAAAAATTACTCAGTTTCAGGTACTCCATTATAGCAACACAGAATGGACTAAGAAAATTGAAACCAGAAGTGTAGTTTTTGCTATAACAAATTCCTAGAAACATGGAAGCAGCTTTGGAAATGGATAATGGGTAGAGGCTGGAAGAACTTAAAAACAACAGGCCAGAAAAAGCCTAAATCGTTGTAAACAAATCTAGGATTATTAACAGCAATTCTGGTGAGGTCTTTAAAAAAAAGACAAGAGCTGTAGGGAAGGCTGTGTCTTCCTAGATATTACTTAAATGGTCATGACCAGAATGTAAATAGAAAGATGGACAGTAACGGCCATTCTGATAAAGTCTCAGGCAGAAATGAGGAACAATGTACTGGAAACTGAAGTAAAGGACATTGTTGTTACAAAGTGACAATGGATTTGACTGAATTGTGTCCATGACCTAGGGCTTTATGGAAGGTAGAATTTAAAAACATTAAACTAAGTTATCTGGCAGAAGAATATATCTAAGAAGCAAAGTGTTCAAGGTGCTACATGGCTTCTTTTGACTGTTTACAGTAAAATGAAAGAAGTGAAAAATGTTTTTAAATGGAATTTTTAATTAAAAGAGAAGTAGAACAGAAAAATTTGGAAAATTGCAACCTTGTCATGTAAAAAATGAAAAAGTATGTTTCTAGAAGAAAGAAAGGGTGCTGCTGTTTGATAAAAACATTAGCATGGATAAAAAGCAGCCAGACGCTATTTGTTAAGGTGATGGCAGAATAAAACCATTTCAGAGATTCTATAGATACTAAACTTGCAACTATTTTAGGAAGTTTAGATTATTTTAGAATAAAAAGTAGAAAAAAAGCATGTTGAAACTTCTTACAACTCTGACCAATACTTGCTACCCATGACTGAATTCTGCATTTATGAAATGACCAGGGGCAAGAAAATGCTGAGTAATGGTGCCAACTGAACAACTTATCAGCTTAAGATAGAGCACTCATACAGAGCCTCTCTCTGGTAGCACTGCAGCCCATTGACTTGCCACAGTGAGTTAACTGCCAAACACAGCTTCCTGAAGCTGAGCAATTACAATGCAGAACAGTGAGTGTATTTGCAAATGAGAGAGCTGACTGGTGTTTTGGGTGATGTCTAGAAATGGTAGATAGATGCCTACTAATTCTATTTTAAAATTGTAATGCTAAGACATGGGACTCTACAAAGTACAGATCAGTGAGATCTCGGAGTAATTTTACATGGATTATTAAAGGAATACTTTTGTAGCATATAGAAGAAAAATCAATAATCAGTAGATGCAACAAAATTCATATGTTATAATTCTCATATGTGATTCAATTAGCTTCCTTCTTGGAGAAAGGTGCTAATTAATTGGTAAAGTTAACAATGAGAGAATAGGCAGCTGGATTTGAGTAAGATAACTAGTAAATTCTTTTGTGACCTTTTTGGGGGAAAAATATTGGCAGAACACATTAATAATTACATAATTTTTGGATCAGTTTAATTACTGACTGAAGGGTCATGGTTAATGGGTCAGTATCACCCTGGAAGAAGATTCAAAGAGCTTTTTCCTCAGCCAAGTTGAATGAACAGAATATCCGTCAATGACACATTGGACAGAAATTCAATGATGCGGTGAGCATCTGCCAAAATCACAGTTGTTTTCTCTCTTCCACATGATCCCTACTAGCATGAACACAGCTATCTAGGAAAAAGAAAGATATTTGCTGCAAAGTAGCCATCTCTATACTTCCAGTGATGGCCAAAACAATGAGGTCCCTTCTCTTAAGACAGCCAGAAAAACATATTAAATCCATTCTTCTCTAGCATCTTTTCTTACTACTTTACTCACCTAACTTGATCATGTGTATCTCTAGACCCAGGACTTAAAGTTATTACAGCTGCACCAAAGCAGCAGACATTTCATGCTCCTGGGTATTTGTACACGCCATTGGCTTACCTGGAGTGCCTACCACTCCTGCTGTTAATTTGTCTTATCAGTCAATCCATAATAAAACATAAAATACATTTCTATCTGTTCATACTGTAATTTGTTGAGATAAAAATACATTATAGTATAAATCCAATTTATACCAACAAATTGATAGTCTATAATTTTGAAAATATGAAAAATAAATTGCTTTTTTAAAAAATAAGATGGGATGATAAGAATTATTTGACATCACTATTCCCGATAGGTAGCATTTACTTATAAATTGCAAACTTGTAATGCTTACTTACAAGTATAATAATGATGAACAACAAACTTACCAACACTTGGGTAACCAGGCGTAGAAGGGTCTCCTCCTGGATTCAGTGACACCATGAAGGTATCATGGCTAGGATTCACAGTCTTTGGCAAGTCACAAGGATCAATATACAGAAGAACACCTCCAAATCCAGCCTTTTCCAATAAGGAAAGCTAAAAGAGGGAAGCAAGCTATTAAAAATATTATCATGCACAGTAAAAGTACATATTGTGCCATTTTGCCATTGTGGCTATGATAAGATGACTCTTTTTCCTGTTTTTGTTTTTGTTTTTTTTTTCTTTTAAAATAAGTAGATATTTCAGATTTCTATCAAGCCCAGAAGTTTTTTCTACTGGCCTTTTTCCCCCCTCTTTTCTATTTCTCCTGTTTTTCTCTATCTCTACCAGCATTGCTATAATGTCTATATTTTATTTCAATTGTCTATTCATGGAATTCCTCACTGTCTGATTCTTTACTAAGTGGATTTTAACTTTCTACTTTTTTGGATTAATAGAGGATCTACCACACACAAGGTTCTTCTTTTAAAAGGAGAGTTGTTGTGACCATTATGCCTTTCCCTAAAGCAGAAATCACCTGAAGTATTGTAACACATTTTTTTCCTGTCACACCAGTCATTAAAATGTTGAAATACTGTCACACTGTTTAGAAAATAGCCACTGTCGTGAACCTCCTGACAGCTCCCGGTATACTAGTCATCTTGGTCTCTGCCTGGAGGTACCAGCCAGATCTCCCAGATATAGCAACTGAAAAATTTACATGTAACCTTATGGGGGTCTCCTTATGAAAGATCAGCCTTTGTTCTGCCCCTGTCATTAAATGTTTTGAAAATAGACCCTGTCATTTGAGACACATTTAATGTAAAGATTCCTCTCTGTTCTTTGGTAAGTACACAATAGGTAAGTATGATGGAACAGACGAACTTGACAATATACCAAGTTTCTTTTTATTTTAACTCTTTAAATTGATTTTTTTGGTAAAGATCTTATTCATTTTAGTCATGTTAGTATGATCTACCTGATACGAAAGCAATAATCATGATTTGCTAATTCTATTAGTTTTTCATGAGAGAGGAAAAGTAATTAGAGAACATAGAGATAATAAAGAGAATATGACTAAAGGTCATATTCAATACAGGCAGTCACTGCTCATTGTGTGACTTTAGTTAATACCCATACTTCACTCCCCAGTTACTGCTTATGTTGCTTATTGACTTTTGCAGTGGAATAAGCAAGGCAGCACCCACTCGCTGAGGACAGGGATTGTGCTTATCTTCTCTATCATTGTACACCTTGCACTTAGCAGGTTTTCAAGAGTATTGCTAAATGAGAGAATGAATGAGACAGATGCAGGCTAGGCACGACAACTATTTTTATTTTTATTTTTTGAAACACAGTCTCACTCTGCCACCCACGCTGGATTGCAGTGGTGCAATCTTGACTCACCACAACCTCCACCTCCCAAGTTGAAGTCATTCTCCTGCCTCAGACTCCCAAGTAGCTGGGATTACCGGAGTGCACTACCATGCATGACTAATTTTTGTACTGTTAGTAGATATGGTCTTTCACTATGTTGGCCAGGCTGGTCTCAAATTCCTGACCCCAAATGATACTCCCGCCTCAGCCTCCCAAAGGGCTGGGATTACAGGTATGAGCCACCGCGCCCTGCCCAGCAATTCTTAAAGAAAGGAGAGCCCCGAGAAAATATTTGGGAAGCCCTCCTATTAGGAAAAATAAAACATAATTGCATATATAGCATGATTTTAAAACAATGTGCCAAAAATAGAAACAGATATAGAATTTAAGTATGCCACAATAATGTCATTTTTTCCTAGTCCTTTAAAAATCTTCTTCCAATTTTTGGTGTAATGAACAGCATACATTGCTTTTATGATTAAATAAACTAACATTGAGAACCTAAGTAAAACAGAAATGACTCAGTTGTCTTCTATAACAACCACTCATATCAGACTTTTGTCATTATTTTCCCCTCAGTGTTTTAGTAGAAAGGAGGGAAGAAATTAAGGAAAAATGGGGAATGAGAAAAGGAAAAGGAGCAAAGAATGTGTGAATGACATTTAAGACTTACTCTTCAAATCCTCACCCCCACCCATGTGGGGGAGGGGGAGTTTAATGTTTACATGCAGAAATAGCTATTCTTGAACAGAATCATCAATGGAATGATTTCCAATGTTTGCTTACTATAGAATAATATATAAAATATAATAGACTATAACTCAGCAATTAAAAGAGAAACATGGATGAATCTCAAAAGCATCATGCTAAATGAAAGAAGCCAGATTAAGAAAGCTGCGTCCTGTATAATTCCATGTTCATGACATTCTTGAAAAGTTGAAACCCTAAGAACAGAAATCAGATCAGTGATTGTTAGAGAGCGGTTGGGGAGAGTGGTTTAATTACAAAGGTGAGGAGGCAATTTTGAGGGTGATGGAAATATTCTGTATCTTGATTGTAGTGGTTGTAACATTCATCATATATCATACACACATCACCTTAAAATGGTAAATTTTACTGTATGTAAAATATGCCTCAATAAACAACAAATCTGTAAATAAATGAATGTACATACTGCAAAATGTTAAGAGTGGCATTCTATAGATGGGAGTAGTACTTGTTCATTTTTATATCTTCTTTCAGTATTCTGTATAACGTTTTAAATAAATAAAAATTAATAAAAGTTTTTTTAGGGAAACAAATAAAAAAAAACTTCCCTGGACAGCAAGTTTCTAAATATTAAAAAATTACCTTTTATTACTAAAGCAATTCATGATCATTACAGAGAAAAACGTGTAGGCAAAGGAAAAAAAAAAGTCCCATCATTTTATCTGTCAAGAAATAGTTAATGTTAACTTGTTGGGGTGTCTAGACCCTTTTACTTGGGTTTATGAACATACATACATACACTAACAAAGTAAAACCACATCATAAATGCTTCTTTGCAATCTCTTTTCATTTGCTTATCAGTACATAATAAACATTTGTCTATGTTGATAAATACAATTTTATATAATTTAAATCACCATATACTATTAAATATACATATATATAATATAAATACTATTATATAGACGGGCTTAAATGTTATTTAACCAATCCCCGACTGTTGGTCATATAACAATTGTTAATTGTTAATTTGCTAATTACAGTAATTTTAAACTAATTTATAATTTTTCAATATTATATGCAATGAACATGCTTGTAGCAAAATCTCTGCAAAAATATCTATTTTTGTGAAATAAATTTCCACAGGTGGAATTCCCAGGTCAAATCATTCATTTTTATGATTTTTGACAAGCTATTTTCCCTTTAGAGGAGCTAATAAGTTATAGTCTTACTAGCTATATGTGGTTTTGCTTCCCTTCACTCTCACCAACAATTATTATTATTTCTTTTTAAGCAACATTTACCGAGGTACCCAAAAATAATTTGTCAAAAACACATAATTTAATTACAAGTCAAGTTAAACCTATTTCTGTATGATTCTGGCTATTTGCATATTTTTTTGAGAATTACTTGCTTGTGAAAAACTATTTTTAAGATTTCTGGGCCACTTATCCATCTACAACATATTGGTTGTCACTTTTTTGAAAGTAAAACATTGGAATTGGGATATGGAGAGAAGTAGGACAAGGTCTGTGAATATCTAAGGAAGTTCAGTTTACCAGCGGGATGGCCAAAAATTTCCATCTTGAGTGCTACCTCCAATTATCTGGGAAAGAACAGCTGTCTAGGGAGGGATTGTGAGGCCAGGTTCAGGGTCATTGCAAAAGTGTTTCCGTGAGTGATGCTTCCACAAGCAGAAGAAAGGGATGTGGGAATCCACATTTTCTTTGTCTTTGTTGTTGTTGTTGTTGTTGTTAATGTGCTAACCCTCCTTTAGTGGGATAGTCAAAATTTCCTTAAAAATTCCTTCTGTAAAGGTAAGTACAATAACTATTTGAGTGTTTAATGTTCATGAAATCTAGTGTTTCAGATCTAAGTCAAAAAGAATATGCTAGAATGGCCAGTTGTGTCTCTTCTGAGTATATTTGGTAATATGTTTTGACCCCTTTTATAATCAATATAGAACATGAATTTGTCTATAGCTGATGGCCTATAATGAAGCAACAGGGTATAATCATACTCTATTTTTGGCTAGAGTTGATTACTCACCCACAGCCCTGAAGGGATAGAGCCCAATATGTGATTTAGCTCCCTCTTCCATTGTCTGCCTGCAATGGTTTGACCTGAGGTAGAAACACCTGTTCAATGTTGTCAAATTTGGTCCCTGGCACCATCTGTCACTGGCCATCTTAGAGCTCTTCATTTAGAAATAAAGACACTTAATTTCAGAAATTATCTATTTTTGGATTTCCGGTGAAGTTGGCAAAAAAAAAAAAAAAAAAAAAAGACAATGCCTAAACCAAACCAAATGAGAAGTGTTCCTCTGCATTGTTAACTACATTTTGAACATGCTGAGGTTGGGGTTGTCTAAAATGTTTAGAAAAAATATGCTACTCTGGAAAGATTATATTTTTAAAAATACATTCAAAGACAAGCCTGCATAAAAGGGGTGAAGCCTACTGTCTCTGGGATATCTGCTTCAGCTAGTGGAAGATTGTCCCTTGGCACACGCAAAAGTATTTAGTCCTGCTCACTACCTCTTATGGTTTGAGATAGCTTAAGATATAGAATGATGACTACATAGAGGCCTCATTCCTGAAAAATAGGGTCAAGTCTTAGGCCAAGATTTCCTGACATTGAACTTCAACTATCCCTGACTTCTCTCTCTCAAATATCTATACGTGATAGGCTGGGGGGTCCTTTGCCATAATCAATCACGTAACCACCTTGCTCTGGGTTTAGAAACTATGAGCCTTTTGACGCAAACTGTGTACAAAAAAGGAGCAGACAGTCAGAGAAAATGTAGATGAGGGTGGGCAAAAGAGGGAATACTGTGCACAGACTCCAGGTTCCACTGTACTCCTTTTACTTGAACTGGGTAAGATTTTCCTCCCTTTCTTTGACAAGGCTTCTGTTACTTGAAAATATATCAATCATAACCAACAGAGGTAAAAAATCATTAGTATGGAAAACAATTCAGAAATTTGGTTCCAACCTTGACACTAAATAGCTATGTGACAACTTATATAAATTTTCTATGCCTTGGTTTCATCATCCA